CCGCTCCTGGCTGAGTGACTTGACCGAAGGGCCCCTCGAAGTTTGTTGCAAGGGGCAGACCGTGGATTACTTTGGGCCCCAGTTCGAGCGTGAGGGTCAGAAGCTGTTCCTGCCGAGTCGAGCGACACGAATCTCACTCAGCGAGCGTCTGGCAGAAATTGAGCCCAAGGCTAGAATGGACCAAGCCACAAAAAGTCGAAATCTTCGATGCCTGGAAAACCCAGCTGCGTAACAAAGGGGTCAATGCAAAACTTTGGGGTACTTAAGGGCAGCGAAGCCTTCCCGGAAGGTGCCGAGTTGTCTGTAGCATGGGTTTGGATTTTGTGCTGCCCCTGACTGCAGGAACCAGCCCTGTGCTGCACGGCCAGCTGAGTTGACTGCCAACAAGGCTATATGTATGTATTCTTCGACAATCCGAGGCTTCTTCGTGAACACCTGAGTGTTGAAGACTCGACCGCACCACTAACAAAGGCGACTTGAACCCAAGCCCTGTACTCTTTGAAGCTCGCAATTGCAGCAAGTCCTCCTTCAAGATCCATCTCAGGATGCGTGGGCGATACCTCGACGAGCAAAGCCAGTGCTCCGGATGCCTGCCAACGTCGGTACTTCAGAGATTGCATCCACGTGGAAGGGGTTTGTAGAAGCTGGAAACATGTTCGAAGCCTTGAGTAGGCAGAACTTTGCCGTGAGCAAAACTTATCCGACCATCACCGATAATCCGAATGCCTCAGGGCTGTTGCATGCAGGCCTACAAACCTACGTCGCCTGTATAGAGTCGAAAGCTTCATGATTCCCTTCTCTAGCAGTCTAGGTTAACGGCTGTGCTGATCGCGGCCTCCAGGCATTGCGTTCGCACGGTCTCGATAGACTTGGGTCTCACGAGCAGCCACTCATGTAGCTTCTACCGTACATTGATTGCAGCGTCTTGCAACAAATTATGCGTGCGAAAGAAGGATGTTTTCAGGGAGTTACTTTTTTCAGTGCAGTCTTGCCTTGTGAATGCTTTTTCGGGCAGAGTCTGCAGTATTTGGCAAGACTAACCACCCGTTGATTTGCCTGGGGAGGCACACGAGTACACTTCAGCCTGTAGCCTGATAAACCTCAATGCCAAGGCCTTTTCAGCAACCACGCTGCCTACACCAGAAGCTGCGAAGACTGCCCCCGACTTGGCAACATCTTCCCAGGCCTACCGAGAAGGACACAAACCTGCCTAAAAGTATCAAACATGCATAACAAATTCAAACAAAACTAGACTTGAGTAACACTTCAAACGCTTTCACAGACTTCCTGCAAAAAACATCCGAACGCTGCCGTTTGCCACCAGCAACTTCAATCGACTTTCTTTCCGGGGTCATTTCACTCGATGCAAGAGTTCTGAAGTTTCCCGAATGCCTCAATGCATAGAGGGCCGACAACAGGTACAAGATGAGGAGTACTGCCAGGGCCACACCTGGCTGAAGCGTGGATTGAAATCTGGGATCGTAGACTTTAAGGAGGCGGGTTTGTCAAGCCCACCTGAAAAAAGCAGTCACCAATAATACCAATAAGCTTCTCAATCTTCGGCAAGATCTATAATGTCACCCCCAACAGCTGGCAGCCTGTGCTTGCCCCGAGTCTTCAGTGCTCAACTGTTCCTTTCGAAGCACCCGCTGGTCAAGGGAATGGTAGTCTGCCCAGGAACGGACAAACCGTCAGTGTTGGTACTCTGTGACTCAAGGACATGTCACGAAGGCCACGAGGAATTTGAGTTAAGACTTCAGATGCTTGCTAGCCTTAAGATTTGCAACCATACAAAAGCCTAGCAGTCAGCCATACATGCTCAGATTCCAATTTTCTACATAGTTGATGCAGCTTTTCGCAAAAGTAAAACTACGGCTTGAAATGCGAGGCCAAAACCATCGATCCTTGCTCCCATACCTTAGTCTCGCAACGGTGAATGCAAAAGCTACTCCGCTCAACATCCCAATCAATGACATGGCTTCAAAGCACCTCCAAACCCCCGGAATTCCAAAATCATAAAACAGAGATTGCAGCTCCGACTACTACGCGGCCAGGGCCTACGCCCAGGATGACGTTTTCGTAAGCTTCCAGCCTTGGAAACCGCTAGTGCCACACCACATCGCGGGGTGAGGCGATTTCATGCGAGAGGGAATTAAACGGAAACAAGGGATCATGCGCAGAGGTTTAGGTTGGCTGCCATTGAGGCCGTGGAGCTCAGCCTCAAGCCCATGCCAAGCCGAAGTTGGAATTTGTTTGCCGTCTTTCAACATATTGCGTTCGCGGGCCGGCCACTGCAAAGACAATTTTCCGGAGGTCTCAGAATCTAGCGATGACATGCGCAACTGCAAGAAAGCACAACTTGGTAATAAGCTGCTCAATATACCAGTAGCCTATGGGCGTCCTTGTGCTGACCTTCAAGTCCAGCCAGGAGCGAGGAGCCCTTCGTCTTTTGTCTTCTTATCACCTACATAGGCCCTAAGGCTCCGAGATGGACACAGACAACCTGAAGCTCCTTCTCAAAGAAGCTGAAAGCCGGTCACGTTGATGGTGGCTTTGTGCGAGCGATTGGTGAAGTCCTCAGAGCCCGATGTTCTTCATGTCATGTGCGGCTAAGGGGTCGCTCAGGAGACACAGGTTCCTTCAAGCCGTAGAAGTGCGAGTGAGATGAGACATGTCTTGGACGAGATGGGCAAGATTGGTTCTGCAAGGGTGTGGTGCGATTGAGAGCTGCAATGAAGACCACTTCGTAGATGACTGCACTGACACACTTTGAAATTTGCAGGTATGGGGCCTGGCCGCCCGGCCTGAACTCTTTATTGATAGCGGAACCGTACAAGATCGAAGACGAGGCTGCTCTTGCCGCTCGCTTGGCAAACAAGACTTGCCATGAGCTGTCGGGCAATGCAACTCCCCTCCGAGAGCCATGAGACCTTACTCCGAACACTAGCACCAGCCCAAACTATACATCCCCCAAAATCCGACAAGCCCGAGTCCTGCAACTGAACCCTACAGTAGATACTGTTTGGAATTCGACTGTTGAGAGCCCTGTCCAAACCAGAACATGCGTTGGCAAACCTTGAAGGAAAAAGCTGAATCCCGGCTCAGTCTCATTGTTGCGCGTGCTGGCAATGTGGTGTGTGCCAACCTGACAAGCAGCGCAAAAAAGCTTCGGAGATCAGAGCAGGATGTAGCTCCTACAGGTACCAGCTATGACTTCTACGGAACTAATCCGATTTGGCATCTCTGTCCATTCCGTCTGCGACAGTTGGCCTGCAAAGTTGGAGTGCGGGCGAGTCTTGCAGAGGGTGATGAAGGGTTCACGAATAGCCATTCCGAATAGCGTACAGCATCACGTTCATGATTAGCAAGCAGAGGCATTGCACAGACCTCCGACGTCAATATCTTTTGTCCCGTTGGGCTACTGCTCAAGGCCGATAGTCTTTATCGCGATCATCATCAGAATCGCGCAATCCCCAAGCGTGGGTCCTGAAGCCCACCTGGCCCTCTATATAGACAATCGAAGCTCGAATTGACTCTGTATATCCGAAACTCTGCTACCAACTCCAAGTCTGCAGAATGCATAATCCATCGCAGTGGCAGTCTTCATCTCGACAAGACCACCATCGAAGTATGCCGATGCACCGTTCAGCTGCTTGCAGTTCGCCCTCGGTGTTCGGATGTGTGGAATACAAACATGGGAAGTCACCAACCTGCACTCACAACAGGTTGCTGAAAAACTGACCTTTGCCTTCGAAGCTACGATGGATTGAGATGTAGAGACCCCGTCAAAAACCCTGAGCCCAATAGCCAACCACCGACCACTGACCAACAAGCGGTTGATCTCAATGTCCGAAACCGCTCAGTGGAACACAAACGTATGTCAGAAATCCGCATGAAAATGGCACACCAAAAGCACCATGCTCACAAGCCCTCTTTTGCATGGTGCATTGGTGTGGCTGCCGACTCCCGGGATGTTCCTTCGGTCGAAGACCTCTGTCTAGAAAGAGGTCGTTTCGAAACAGAGGAGGGTCCCCTCCTTCAGGGCCTACGGCACCTGGGGATCGGGAACCCTCCTGTACAGAAAAGAGTCCCAAAATTTTGTGCCGTCCAGAAAGAAGCCTGTACAGGAGGCAGCCACATCCTCACCGGGCGCCCTGCGCGGGCCCATGGGTGAGGTCAGAAGGATCGTCGAAAATACGATCTTCCAGGATAGAGCGGATTAGGGAAAAATGCTTGAGCACGGGTTCCACCGGCAAGCAGAGAGATGGGGTGAAACCTTGAAAGTTGGGATGAGTCAGATCATCAGCCCACGTGTTGAAGTCACGCTTGACGTGGGAGGGAGCGAGCTGCATACCATGTCGGTGCAGCTGGAACAGTACTTCCATGAGGATGACAGACGTTCGCATCCTCTTGGACTTATCGTTCAGGAGCGAGTAAACATTCCCTTGGTTGTCGCTGACCAGGGGGAGCCTGAGGTTCGGGATGAACGCCGGTGCCTTCTCCATGAGAAAGTGAGAAAGGATTAGGGTGCCAAACATCTCGAGGGCGGCGATGCGCTTCTTCGGGCAGCCCTTGTCAAAGGCCCATGGGTGTCGCTCTGCTGTCCCTGGTAGTGGAACCAGAAGACTTCCGACTTGGACGGGGAGTCCACGTTGGAAAGCCAGCCGCCCACATAGGCGCTGCCATCATCTGAGGCACTGGCATCACTTGCCCCCGACCAAATGGCAAGCGGGGCATACGGCGATGCTTGTCTGAACTTCTGGTCAAAAAGAGAGAGGAGCAGAGCTGAGAGTGCACGGATAAGCTTACCCGGACGTCCTGCAGTCAGGCAGGCCTTCTTCCAAGCCCAAAAGGGTTGGAGGAAAGGCTTAGTGAGGGGCAGGCCGTTGTCGCCCACTGCAGCCTACCCAAAGCGCTAGCGATCTGAGAAGCCGACATGACTTTACCGCTTTTTAGTTCTTCAAGAATGCCGATGACAAGCAGGTGCTTGTCTCGGGCCA